AGAGCCAGCCCCTGTGTGCCCGCAGCCGGGGGCCTCTGCAGCACCCTGAGTCCAAGGACCCCCCCATACTCTCGCCATGCACCAGGGACCTCTCCCCTCTCCTCTGTTGCCTCTGCTCTTTAGCTTGGGACAGGGGTCTTTGCAGCACCACGGTGCCTGGAAATCCTGCACTCCCTGCTCCAAGGCACAAAACTGGGAACACACTGGGATCCCAGCATTGTCCAGTTGTCCGCAGCCTCCAGTGCCAGCTCCCATGGGTGCTCGTGGGGCCCTTGCCGGCTCCGGTGGGGTATCTGTCCTTCCCCAGCCGCACTTGAGAACCACTCGTTATGGATGTCCCCGTATCTGCACCGCAATGTGCACCTGCCAGTGCCCTGCACATCTGGCCCAGCATCTGTCCACACCTATCCAAGGCACCCTGGCTGGGCAACGTCTTCCCCTCATCCATGGGACCACTTCCCATTATTTCTGTGTTGCGTGTGCCCCCATGGGATGAAGTGTGCACCCCCTCTCCTCCTAACACCAGCACCACCAGTCCTACTTCTCCTCCCATCTTGCATGCAGGTTTCCAGCGTGGAGGAGACATATGGGTGCTTGCCTCCATCCCCAGCCGTGCTCCCCACCCTCTCTGTGCAGGGAACAAGAGCCAGATGGCTGTAGAAACCCTTCTCCCAACATGTGCAACCCCTGGAGCGTGGCTCTGTGGTGTGTGGGTCCTGGGGCACCTCTTGGGCTCTGCGCCGGGTGAACTTTTCCCACCACACTCCTGCTGCCAGCGACTGATGGGTGAAAGAGAAAGAGTGAGACAAGGTGGGACTTGGGGCACAGAGATGCACCGTCTGCTCACCACCCCTGTCAGCCTTGCCAAGGATGTTGGCCTGGGGGACCCTCTGCAGTGAGAAGGTGTGTGGGGATGGGCAGCTGGGCACGGCCCCATTCAGTGTGTGATTATCCGAGCACAGAAGGAGCTGAGGGGGTTGAGCTCTGGCAGGTGTAGCAGCCATGGCTGTGCAATTGCACAGCGTCTGTCGGTGCGTTGTCCCTCCAGCTGCCCTGGGCTGTGCATCCCTGTCCTTGGCTTCATTTTTAGGATGTTTGCTCTCACAAAGTAAAATGGTCTCAAAGCTGCCAGAATTGGATTCAGGCTGCTGTGATTTTTCTTGGCATGTGACTGAGATTTTTGGGGCATGCTGTGCTGCTTTCTGCTGCAGAAGAGCTGGGACAGGCAGTGGGCGTAGATGAGCTGGTTGGGTCTGCCACAGATGCTCCAAGAGCTGATCCAAGGGGACTGGGCTCTGTGACAAGTTTGGGAATAGCAGCAGCTCTGAATGAGTTACGGAAGGAAATGCCAGGGAGTTTGTGCTCCGTCCGGAAAGGCTAACGGACATCCTGCTGGGGAGCACCGATAACCTCATCACCTGCCTGCTCCTGCCTCTCAGTCTTCATTGTTATCTCATTAGAGGGGAAATGGGTTATAGTTGTTCCCATGTTATGTCCTTGCCAAGTTCTGCTTGGGTAGAAATGGTTCTGAATGAAGCTAGCGGGGTTATTTTTCCACTTAAATCCTGCTTTCCATCCACAGCAGCTGCCTGCGCTTCCTCTGTTCTTATAAAAACACCCATGGGTTTCTCCAGGAGTGTCTGTGTCACTACTCCTTGGTAAGAGACAGGGATGAGCTGAGAGATGTGCCCACTGCTGCCTTCAGAAACAAGTCAGATCAAATGGGTATCAGGCATCATTTGCTTCCCCAAGCTTTGGGGCGACTTCTCCTGCTTTCTCTTTTTCCTCCTATTCCTTCGACGTGGTTATGGTGACAGTGGAGCTGTATGCTGCAGGGAGGCAGGCTGGGCTCCTCTTCACAGAATCATAGTGGTTGGAAAAGACCCTTAAGAACATCGAGTCCAACCATAAACCCAGCACTACCAATTCCACCCCTAAACCATGTCCCTCAGCACCTCGTCTACCTGGCTTTTAAATACCTCCAGGGAAGGTGACTCCACCACCTCCCTGGGCAGCCTGTTCCAATGCCTGACTGCCCTTCTGGTGAAGAAATTTTTGCTAATATCCAATGTAAACCTCTCCTGGAACAACTTGAGGCCATTTCGTCTCGGTCTATCACTTGTTACCTGGGAGAAGAACTAGTTTCAGGTAGTTGTAGAGAGTGAGAAGGTCTCCCCTCAGCCTCCTTTTCTCCAGGCTAAACAACCCCAGTACCCTCAGCTGCTCCTCAGCACCACTCAGAAAAAACAAACAAATTCAGTAAAATTTGTGTGTTAAAGATTTTTGTGTCAGTTCAGCCAAAGCTCTTGCTTTAAGAGTTCTGATGATGAGGGTGGGGGATTTGCTGTGACATTTGACTGTTGTGCCTCCAGGGATCACGAGCCCCAGCTGTAGACAGTGGCACCTCACATGGAAAAGACCTGGCTGCAGCTGGATGCCCTGTTATTTCAAGCGGCACTCACAACCCATCCGTCCTGCTGCTGCTGAAATCCAAAATGCCACTTTGTGTGCTACAACCCTAAATCCTGGCCACTGCTTGAAGCGGGAGTGCTGGCTCCTCAGCCACTGTGTGTTGGGCAGGCTCCAGCTGGGGACACCAGTGCAATTTGTCATGGTTGGAGACCTCTTCCCACCCTTCTGGCATCTTTCCATCTTCATCTTTCCAGATGAAAGGGTGAGCTGCTGCATCTGCCAGTGCTGCAGAGGGAAGGTGTGGCCTGGGGCTGGCCTGTCCCTTCTGCTTATGGGACTGGAGTCACTGCAAGAGAGAGGGTGTCCTTACAGGGGCCACAGAGCACCTGCTTAAGCCCGGTGGGATCAGATATAGAGGCAGGAAAGTGTTTTCTAAAATGCTGAAGGCTGCCTTGGTCAGGGGACAAATTGTGGTTTGTGTCAGTCCCAGGGCAGGTTGGTGATGATTGTAAGCTGTGTCCCAAAGAAAGCATATGAAGGGAAGTTGAAGCTTAGAGGTCTCAGTGGGCTCTAGATGTGTGTGGCCCATGTACACAAGTCCCATACTGGTATACTCCTGTTGCAGTCACTCTTGATGTCCAGGGAGAAGAACTAAGCCTCAAACTTTTAGGGATGACTCTAAAAAAGCAGAAGTGCAGCCTGGACATTTCCCCCCTCTCCTCAAACATGAGGCTTTTACATTGTGCTTCACAGAAAAAAGATAATACATCTTTCCAGCATGATGCTGACAGTCTGAAGACTTGGCTTCTTCCATGCTCCCTTCTTCTTTAACACCTCCTCAGAGCAACTGTCTGTCCCCTGGCCCCTCCTGACCCCAGCCAGCATCTCTTGGGTACCTCTTCCTTGCAGCATCCCACGTTGACTCCCATCTGTTCTGAGATGCCTTTTGCTGGTTGCTCCCTGTTCAGCTGAGCAAGCCCAGCTCCACCCTCTCAGGTACTGAGCACCCTGGCTCAAGGAGGGGCACCCACACAGGATGAGACCCCTCGCACTGCCTAGTTTATCTGTGCGCAGCTGCAAGGCCTCAGACTGCCTTTTAAAGTGGCCACCTCCATGGTGTCATGCCGAGGAGCAAGGTGCCAGTGACAGCTCATGCTGGCATTTGCTCTGCAAACAGCACAGAAGGCAAAACCGCCTTTTTTTTAGGGAAACATTACCCCAGGGTAGCGGTGGCTGCAGGTAGGACGTGTCTGCATGGTGGTTGCCAGACAGTGGCCCTTTGGGGACACCAATCCAGACACTTTGCACTGCTTTTTTCTTTCTTTCTTTCTTTTCTTTTTTTTCTTTTTTTTTCCTCCTCTCCCCTCTTACAAAAAATAAAGCCTGTGTGAGGTCCAGCCCATCTTCCCCTGCAAGTGCTGTGGCTCAGGAGCACTGCCAGCAGCCAGCACAGGCTGCCTGGGAGAGGTGAGCAATAGCCAGTTCACAGTGGGCAGGGCTCCTGCCTGTGATTTTGCCTTAGTCAGAAGATTGTTTCTCCTGCTGCTGTGCAGGCCTTTCTGGGAAGGTTTTGTCTTTGCCAGGAGAGGCACGAGTATAGCACGAGAAGGAAAACACTGACTGCCTTTGCTCAGCAACCCAGTAGTAAGCATTTCCCCATGTTTCTACAGCTCTGTGTGGAAATACTCATCTGTGTCTTTCAGAGAGAAGCAGTATCCTTTTGCAAGGGGCAAGGGGGAAGAAGTCAGGCTCCTGTGTAATAGATAATGTTTTACAAGTGCTGCTGGCCATCAATGGTCTCCAGAGGATCCAGGATACGAGTGCTGCTACTGGGAGAAGCTGGGCAGAGCTGATTACTCAGAAGAGAAAGAGTGGGCAGGAGCCAAGCAGATGGTAAAACAATGGGGAGGAGGAGGAGGGTAGGTGACAAGAACTAGCTGTGGGACAGGGGGGCAATTCCCAGTGCTGGGAGGGGAGATCAGTGCTGGTTTTGGTTACCTGGACAGGGAACACCTTGTCTTCCTCTCTGTCAGGCATCGCTCAGAGATGCACTTCTATCAAATACCACTCTTCCCAGCCAGTACACTTGCACAATGTCCCCTTCAACCTGATGGAGACGATCAACCAAGACGGATGGCATCTGCTCCATGAGTGTTCAGCACAGCCTCCTCCTCCCTGGCAAGGCCCACGGCTCGTGCTCTCCCTTTCACGTGAAGGCGCAGCAATGAGACCCTAGCTTGCAGAGGAGGGGGCTGAGGAGACAGGATCCCACCAAGGCCCAGTCATCAGCAATCTTCACCCTCATTTTCACTTGCAGGCTGGTATTTAGAAACCACAACATTTCTTTCCATCCAAGTTACTTTAAAGTCTAGAAGGAAATAGAGTATCAAGGTGTGTCTGCAGAAAACCTTGCTGCACCCACGTCCTGAAGGTCATATGGCTGAAGCTGTATAATTATATGGGTCATATGGTAGTCGAAGTTCATAACACAACTACAAAACTGCTAGTCTGTAGCAGCCTCACTACAGGATCACTTTCTACTTCCAGGTACTCACTCGTAGATCTCGGATTACTCCTATTACAGGTCTACTTGGCACAAGCTAGCTGTATGTGATCATGGCTATTTCTAGGTGTCCCTCCACTTCCTCCTGCACTGGAATCATAGAATCATAGAATGGTTTGGGTTGGAAGGGACCTTAAAGCTCATCCAGTTCCAACCCCCCTGCCAGCAGCAGGGACACCTTCCACTAGACCAGGTTGCTCAAAGCCTCATCCAGCCTGGCCTTGAACACTTCCAGGGAGGAGCAGCCACAGCTTCTCTGGGCAACCTGTTCTAGTGTCTGACCACCCTCACAGTGAAGAACTTCTTCCTAATATCTAATCTAAACCTCCCCTCTTTCAGCTTAAAGCCATTTCCCCTTGTTTTGTCATTAACTTACCCTTATGAAAAGTCCTTCCCCAGCTTTCTTGTAGCCCCTTCAGGTACTGGGAGGTGCTATAAGATCTCCCCAGAGCCTTCTCTTTTCCAGGCTGAACAGCCCCAATTCTCTCAGCCTGTCCTCACAGCAGAGCTGCTCCAGCCCTCGGATCATCCTGGTGGCCTCCTCTGGACTTGTTCTATCTGCTCCAGGTCTCTCTTGTGATGGGGGCTCCAGAACTGGATGCAGTATTCCAGGTGGGGCCTTACAAGAGCAGAGCAGATGGGGAACAGAGTGGAGTAGAGGGGGGAAAAGCGGAGTAGAGGGGGAAGGCTTGTCTGTGGTAACACCCACTCTTAATTTCTCAGGCTTGGTGGAAACAGACTTGAGAAAGATCATGGCCGGATTCCTGGGCATGGCTGCAGGAGTTCTTCTCTGCAGGCGCAGCATGGCAGCAGTCAGCTTCTTTTGGGAGGAAAGCCTCACCCAGCACGTTGCAGGTCTGCAGGTTCCTGATGACAAGTAATGCGTCGTTCTCGTGTGCTAATTATGGATGATGGTTTCAACAGGTTTCCCTTCACTTACTGGCATGTGCTGCCAGTAAATGGAACACACCTTCTGCCTTCTGATCTCCAGTTACTGTGCGTTGCATGAAGTGAGTCACTTACTCATACAAATGGAATAACCAATAATTAGAAAAAAAAAAACCCAACCCTGTGAAAAATGCACTGGGCCTCATGCAGCAGCAGGAAAGGACCACGGGGCTAAAACAACTGCTTCCTCCTCTTTATGTATGAAGTGTTCTCTCTCTTCTCCAGAACAGAATGGTCCCTTCCTGCAGTTCACAGTCCTTGATGGTGGACTAAATATTTCTTTTAATACTGAAGTAGGAAAGGGGAATACTTAAAAAAAAAAAAAAAAAAAAAGTTTTAGTAATAAAATTAGAGGTTGTTTAGAGGGGGAGGAAAGGTAAAATCCATCAAAGCCAGCATGAGTCTGAACCATCTGAACTCATAAGGCTGAGCAAAACACCTTCTCTTGTGATAGAGGAAATACTTTGATTTGAGCAGCTGTAATGCACAGCACTGCTATATTTTTTAACACATTAGGAAAGCACAAAGCTGAGGAAGGGCTCGTTGTGCATGGCTAATTTAGCTGCTTAATAAAAAACACAGCTTAATGAAAAACACTTAAGGAAAAGTGACTCAACAGAAATCCTAAGGTGGGAGAAGGGTGTCGGCAGAGAGCTGGGGAGTGATTTAGCCTGAATGGTTCCTCTGCTGTGGTATGTGGAAGGTCACCCGTGGAGGTAGATTACCTGCTCCGTAACCTCCAGGTCACATTACACATGACACAGGCCAAACAATTTCCCCTGGCTGCTCTCCCACAAAGGGGATTCAGCATCACAACAGCAGCCTGCACAGTGTGACTGCGTCCCATGGGTCAGCTCTGATCACAGACAGGTGCTTTGGCTTCCTTGCTCTGTTTGAAGGGCAGGCATGACTGAATTATAGAATCATAGAATTATTAAGGTTGGAAAACTTCCTCAAGTCCAACCATCAACTCAACACCACCATGCTTACTAAACCATGTCCTGAAGTCTCATGTCTACACATTTTTTGAACTGGGATGGTGACTCCAGCACTGCACTGGGCAGCCTGTTGCAATGCTTGACCACTCTTTCAGTAAAGAAATTTTTCCTCATATCCAATCTAAACCTCCTCTGGCAGAACTTGAGGCCATTTCCTCCTGTCCTATTACTAGTTACTTGAGAGAAGACACCAACACCCACCTCGCTACCCCCTCTTTTCAGAGAGTTGTAGAGAGTGAGGTCTCCCCTCAGCCTCCTTTTCTCCAGACTGAACAACTGCAGTTCTCTCAGCTGCTCCTTATAAACTTGTGCTCCAGACTCGTCACCCACTTTGTTGCCCTTCTCTGGACACACTCCCCCTTATTCTTAAAAGTAGCAACCAAGAAGTTTGCTGGATGCAATTCACAACCAAAGAGATAATTGAGTAATACACAAAAACTTCATGCTGGTAATTACCTCCTGTGTGCTACCCAAGGTAACTTACACCAACAAAGCTGGCTGCAAGTTATTTGATTAGTAAGGCCTAACATTTATTTGTTATTCAGGCTATGCTACATCTCATAACAACAACACAATTATTTCATTGACAGAAACACTTTGCACTATATCTTTGCGCATTTATGCAGCCAGCACATCATATGACCTAAACCACCTCCCTACCTTCATCTATAATCTTCCTGATGATGTAGAACATGGATCTGTGGAACAGCTGCTCTGTATTTTGTGCTTAGCACAGTCTGGGATTTACAGGAGCAGCTGGGTGTCTTTGCACAGCTTACCTGTTTGTTAGCAGAGGCAAAATGACGCAGCTGAAGTCCACTGAAGACTCCTCCGTATGACTGCCCACCTGCCACCAACACCCTTCAGTGATGGCTGAACAGTAGTTTTTAGGACTTGTTTGAAAAAGCAGAGGTGAAGGGAAAACTAAACTCAGGATTCCAAGCACAAAAGTCTGATTCTTCAAAATCTGACTGTCGTGTTTTACCAGTTCAGCAAACCATTCTCCTACGCTGCCCAGCTGAGAGATTTGAAAAGGAAACAGCTCTCAGAGGACGGAGATGGCTCAGGATCAGATGCTTCAGTTCAGCACGCCAAGTCCATGCAGAGGAAGGCATCTGCACTGGGACGTAAAAGTGGGAGGAAAGTTGCTGTAAGAATTTAGGGCTATTTCTATTTTTCAATGATCTCTACATAAAGTTATTAAGGAAAAGTCAATGTGGCCAAATAAATCCTAGTCAGAATTATACCCCCTTCCCCAGGGCATCATCTGTAATGTTTTAATTCAGCACCTTCTGCACTTGACCTTAAAGGAAGGCTTTGGAGCCCCTCTCCTCCCAAAATGCCCAAACAGAACTATTTCTTTTAAATCAGCATGTACCCGTGTCTCTTTGTGTATCCTTTGTACATTAAGTTCCTGTGTAATTTGTAAATAACCAAGATTTCCATTCTGAGTGCCCAAGATGTATTGTGAGAAGGATTAAATTACCCCTGTCCATTCCTGGATGCTCTCTTGGTTATGAGGCATTTGTCAAGCTACAGTATCTGTAATAAAATACCTGCCTGTGTGAAAAGCATTTGTGTCAACTGCAATCTCACAGCTTGGAAATGGTGTGTCCAGCAAGGCAGAGAAAGTTCATAAACCAGGAGGGTTGTAGCCTGGACAGTGCTTGCACCAAGCATCCCTACGGGGCAGGGCAGCATGCTGGAGTTAGAGCCCCAGAGAACCTCTCCTGCCTGGGCCAAGAGCCACCCACGGCAACAGGGGGATAGGGAGGTGCCAGAAATGGGGCAGCTTTGCATTTTCCAGTGCTTAATGGCAGGGATGGGAGTTAACAGGAGGGTGCCACGCTGATCTGTCAGACAGCGCTCAATCCCCACAATTAAGACTTCAGTGCTCTGCTGATGCATCTGTCACAGCGTGATGGTTTCACTTGGCCAGCACTTGGCTAGTGGCCAAACACAGCACTCACTCATTCCCACCCCACCCCAGGGATAGGGGAAAGAATTAGGGGCAAGGGTAAGGAAACTTGTAGGCTGAGATAAGAAGAATATAATAACTGAAATAAAATAAACCTTAAAATAAGACTGCTCACCATCTACCTGCCAAGCCCAGCCTGTTCCCAGATAATGATCCCGGAGGAGCAACAATCCCGAACCCAAACCTCAATCCTGGGAGAGCCAGAGCCCGAGCGAAAGCCAGAGAGAGCAAGAGAGGGAGAGACCCTCATGAATCTCCTGCCCATGGGGGACAGGAGATGGAACAACCCCTTTGCAGAGCCAAATGCCAATTTAGCTTATTAATATAATTATCCCTCGCCCCCTTAAAACTTGCGCTTGTAGACTAACAAAACACAAAGTCCTTCACTTCCAGTGACACAAATGCCAACACTAGTGTGTTCTCAGTGTTTTTCTGATAACAAATCCCAGCTGAAACCAAACCCCAGCGCTGTTCTAGCTGCTAAAAAGAAACCCAGCTCTGTCCCAGCTGAAAACCAGAACAATATCTGCCCCTTATTCCATACCATCTGCATCTTGCTGTCCTGGTTTTGCTAGGATAGAGTTAATTTTCTTCTCAGTAGTTAGACTAGCTGTGTTCTGGTTTCAGTGTGAGACTTGTTATGAGAAGAACATTGATGGAAGTTCTGATTGGGCAGGGCCAGCTCGGTTGGCAGATCCTCTGGTGTTGACTAACCAGGTGGCTTTTGCTAAATGTGCATGCCGGTGTTTGAAAGTCCCACCACCCATTGCTCTCAGTGTGGTTTTCAGTAGCCCATTGCATCATTTGATTTTCCTGGAGGCTGGTGCATGACAGGGAATGTGGTACAGCCACTCAATGCCATGTTCTTTGGCCTAATTGTCTGTTAAGGAGCTGAAATGGCAACACAACACTGACACCTGCAGCAAGCACCAGTAGCGGATCTAAGCAAAATCACAATCTGACACATTCAGCAACAGGGTGATGGTAGTTCAAGCATTCCAAGGATATTCAAAATTCTCAAGAACTTTTATAAACTGTGATAGTTTCACTGGGCTGGCCCTT